TTATGGGACGGCTATTCTGTTTATGGGTATATAAACAGTTTTCATTCTGAGCAAGCACTTTTATTCACTTCTTTTTAAGAAGTAAAATCAGAACGATTTAGGATTTTGGTTGTACCGCTTATTACACAACACGACTGTACATGAGGCTCACGCTGCGTCTTTTTTAAACAGAGACATTTCGTCATCCAATAGAAGTGAATGAGAAATTAAATGCTGAAGTAGAATAATAAAGTAAATAAATAACTTCTGTCTATAATACTTTTATTATGACAGCAGGTAATTGAATGACTTCTAACAACTTCCATTTGACTAGTACACATCTACGTAGTGCAGCATGTTAAAGTTCTCTTAATACTAGGGAAGGTTACTGGAGGTGCCAGTTTATCTTGAGATCCCTTATAATTAACCACTTTGTTGTCCTCATTCTGTTTCAAGAGTAATATAACAAGAATCGCACTTTTTCTTTGTCAAGATCACCTTGAAGATGCCACAGGTATTTGGAGTTTGACAACTCTTTAACCAGTAACACCTGATATGAAGCGTACCTACCAAGTGAAACCAAAAGACAGAAGCGAGGAGGTTCGAAGATATGTTTGATAGGCTATCAATATATTGGGGATCGTCTGATCTAATCTGGCTAGCGATTGCAGTGGATGTTGAGCACGGAGTTCCCACTCGTGATCTGGTGCGGATCCATGACCGAGTGCCTTCAGCTAGGTGAGTTTATTAAAATAATGTGGTCAGCATCCAATGTCGAAAACTTACAGAGCTATTTATTTTGGGGATTTATTTACCACTATGACTTCAATACTACTGTTGCTCAGACCTCAAGGATAAGCATAATAAGTAATCTCAAACATAATATACCAACTAGCATTTCGTACATTTTATTATTTCTAGCAGAGTTTGTAAATTGGACAAGAGAAAAATTGAGCAGATGACTTTGAATACGCTTAGGATGCATTTGAGTTCAGTAAAGAAAGTACTTGGTAACAATTAGCAATAACACAGACTTCAGGGTAGGACAACAAAATAACGGAAATTTGACGATGGATTAACAGCACTGAAATCTGTAGGTTGTTATTGCCACTTGTTATTGCTACCTGTCCATTCACGTAAGGCTCATACAGACAAACAGGACGAAGCTCACGTGTTCCAAATTGAAAGCATAAACTGCTTATATGTGAACGTCGCGAGTCTACCAAACAAATTGGATGAACTACGTGAACTTAGCAATGATGATAAGGCCCATCTGATAGAAATATCTGAAACCTGGATCTCTTATCTGTTCAAGGACCATGAATTAGCATTACCTGGGATGTCTTTGTTCCGCAATGACTGAAAATCAGGAATTGGGGGCGGAGTAGCTGTTTACACACGTTCTTGCTTGGAGTTGCACCAAGTTCATAACCTCGAGTTTAAAAATCTTGAGGAATTTATATGGTGCTCTGTAAGATTGTCTGGTACTTTGAAATGTCTAGTCGGAGTCATTTACAGGAAGCCAACTGCCGACATCGAGTACGATAGTCGTATGCTGGAAGGACTATCCCGCTCTACTCACCTCGGTCTCACACACATCCTGACTTTAGAGGACTTTAATCTCCCTAGAGTCAACTTCGCGGAAAACACGTATACTGGGGGCGACAACTCAATTCAAGTTCGGTTCTTCGACTTCATCGATGGCTTTGGATTGTACGAAAATGCGAGGTCAGGGAAACAGTCAGATACCAACGCGCTTAAACTGTGTATTCGCAAACGAAGAACTCCTAGTTGACAACCGCTCAATCCTGGATCCTCTGGGAAAGAGCGATCATTCCGTCAAAGCCTTCAGTTTTGTCAGCAAAACTGAGCTAGGATACCCCACCAATAACTTGCGTTCGAATTTTAAACGGTTGAATGTGCCAGCTCTACACGACTATCTACAACAGGTGATTTGAGATGTTCACCCCCAACTTGATGTGAACGGTCATTGGAACTTCTTACTGCACACGCTCTTACGTGCTACAAACCATTCAGCTCCTCAGACGGTTCCCAAAAGCTGCAAGCCACCTACAATAATCAAGAACCGTACCCTTCGCCTGCTGAGCCGCAAAAGGCACTGTTGGGCGGAATACAAACGAACTGATAACGACGGAGCTTATAGGCAATATAAACATATCAGGAACATATGCACGAAGGCTATAAGAGAAGATAGGGTTCAGTACCAGACAAAACTTATGGACAAATTTGCCTCTAATCCTAAAAGCTTATTCCGTTATGCAGCCTCTCTTCGTCAAGCCAAAACTGGAGTTTCCCAACTAGTAGGTCTTAACGGCCCGACCAACAACAATGGCGGCGCCGCTAACCTTCTGGCTAAACATTACTCCGAGACATTTTAACCGACCGACAATAACTTTACTGATGACAGTTTCGTTCGCAATTCCACAGGACTTTCCGAAGTGAACCTAAGCGCTGACGTGGTGTTCCGGAAACTGCAGCACTTAAGATTAGACACTTCTCCTAGCGTGGACATGGTCCATTCCGCCATACTGAGGGAAGCAGCCTCAATCCTGACAACGCCGCTTAGCGTGATGTTCTCACACTCGCTAAGTCTAGGAAAACTGCCGGAAACTTGGCAGCTGGCTCACATCACACCAATTTTCAAAGGAGGTCGACGCAGCGAACCTTCAAGTTACCGACCGGTGGCTCCTCTCTCCATACCCTCAAAAATCATGGAGTCCCTGATATGTGATGGTATTAACGACTATTTACTGTCCTTAAATTTCTTCTCACCCCTACAGCACGGTTTCAGGAAGGGTTACTCTTGTATTACAAACCTGCTGACTGCAGTGGACAGATGGACAAGCACCCTTGATCACAAGGGGGAGGTTGATATCATCTACCTAGATTTCTTAAAAGCTTTTGATAATGTTAACCATACATGTCTTATCAGTAAGCTCAAATGATTGGGTATCAGACCACCTCTAATCGATTGGCTCACTTCATACCTGAACAATCGACATTTTAAGGTCAGGGTTAATTTCACTTTCTCTCAGGCTATGGAGTGTCCTAGTGGAGTCACACAGGGCTCAGTACTAGGACCTCTTCTCTTCTTGATCTACATAAATGATCTTCCTCAACAGGTAACGTCAGACTTATTACTTTTTGCCGACAACGTGAAACTTTGGAGAGAGATACGCAACCAAGACGATATACAAAGTTGGGCAGACGACAACGGACTTATTTTTAACACTTCAAAGCGTAAAGTAGTCCATCTGCGACATGTCGCAGACTACAGTTATAACTAAGGAAACTCCTCTCTAGTAGTATCCCAAGTCGAAGAGGATTTAGGAGTCTCGGTGCCCTACGATTTAAAGTCTTACGTTAACTGTGACAAAAATACCTTTCGAGCAAACCTTGCACTGGTAACATTGAAGTGCGATTTTGGCCATTTTGATGGAAGAACGTTCCATATAATCTTTAATAGTTTCGTCCGTCCCCATTTAGAGTACGGAAACATAGTATTTACCCCTCACTACAAAAGGACAAGGACACCCTGGAGCCACGAAATCAGTTCGAGGACTCAAATTTAAACCTTACGAAGAGCGCCTCCATTCACTTCAACTTTACCCATTAGAGTATAGACGTCTTAGAGGTGACCTACTGATGGCTTATATTATCCTTAACACTTCTGGACATCCTCTCAAACACCTACTTAAGCTTAGTTCCAACACTAACCTAAGGAATAACACCAAAAAACTGGATGCATAACATAGCAGAACGGACTGTAGACACAACTTCTACTCCTTAAGAATTGTCAAATGCTGGAATTCGCTGCCGGCCGAGCTAGTCCAAGCGACTTCCCAGGAGTCTTCTAAGAGGCAACTTGACCTATTCTTAAGGACCAAGGACAGTATCAATTTCTTTTCCTCTTTTATTGTTAACATACCTAGGTTCTTGCCTGGAGGATTTGGTGATCCCCTGCTATTAGACACGGAAGCCTGTTAAGTGAAAGCTTCTTCTATTCCGTCCACAACCATTTGAACCACTTGGACGATGGTCATACAGCCCTTTGACCTTCAAATGTTCAGTCACCTCCACATAAGGGTCATGGTTACAAGCAGTTTCCGAGGCATAAATGAGAAACGGCCTGAGTCTTTTTTTATACATTATGTAGTGATGCTCCCTTTACAGTGCTATTTCACTTATGCTAAGTCACTGTGATTGTCGCATAGATGAGTCTATACGTAACCATATTTTTATACATATTTCGGGAAGTCCACGGTCGACCGGTCGACCTGCACGTATTAGAATTCCAAGTTTTCGCCGCAACAAAAGCATCGTTAAAGTTTCTTCGGCTTAACTAACTAAAAAAGCCTGAAAATCAGAAGTCGGCGTGCCAATGGGTTAATAAACTAGGGTGTAATGATCCAATCCATCATCTAATAACCTTGATTTTTTGGTATTTTATGGTGCTTACAATTTTAAAAGCTTTTCGGATATGAATATTATCACAAATTTTGAAACCGACGGTATGTCTGCAAATTCCGATCAGTCAAATCTAATTTCCTGTTATATACTACTCTGGTAACTCGCTAAAAATAAGTTCTCTAATCCCTCATAACTCGAAAAGAGCAATCCAAGGCTTGCCTTCAAAATCAGAAACAAACCTTTGTTGGACAAATCAATCTTCTCTCTTCGGATGGAGACGCTTCGAATACTCTGCTTTTTAAAAAACCTGAGACATCACTGTTCACAGTGTTCGTTCTTTGATTTTATTCCATAGAGTAGTAGTAAAAAAGTGTTTGCCTTTGCGCCTGCTTCTTATCATTTGTTTTAAAGCAGTATGTAACTTCTTAGTTTCCTAAATGGAACCTAGAAACAGTACTCTGTATTGATTACGTTGCCCAGAAAGCGAATCTTCTGCACTTGAGTATGTTTGTGTCTAATTTTGTCAAGTCCTTCAATTAACTTGTTTCACAGACAGTGTCATCCAAACAGTTACAATTTGTATATCTTCATATTATTATTATTATTATTATTATTATTATTATTATTATTATTGATCACGTGTTGCAGCCTACTCACATCGCTCTTGCTGCCTAAAACATCAGTTGCTTAAATTTCTCGATGAATCATTCGTCTTCCTATATATATGCGCTTGAACCTTATTAATTCATTCGACTCGTAATTCGCCTCTGTATTTGTTTGCTCACTCGCGTTAGCATTTCTGCTTGGATCCGCTTTGTGTGTTTGTGTCTCAGTGATTTGCTCTGTTCAATGGCAAATTGTAGTCTATGCTTCGTATTGTCTCCTGAAATTTATACACCGTTGTGATTTATCTAGGAATGGTTATCAGGAAGATTGATGTATGAAACTTTAGGAAGTGTGTCGAAGATAATCCCCTACAAGTCCTATCTGGTGGTATATAGGCTTGTCCAAGTCACCATTAATTGGTAACCAACGTCTATACAAAGTACTTCTAAAGAATAGTGGGGACCTGTCTGGACTCTTGCTGTGGTTGGACAGTAAAAATGGTCAGAAGGACCATTTTCCTGGGAATTTGTGCGAGTGTTACTAGAGGCTTGGTAAATGAGATCACACTAATTCGCGATATTGTAAATGGTCCCTAGGTCCAAAGTCATGTTTGAACATACTAAACAGGCTACTCCAATAGTTACAACTACCAACTAGTACTCACTAAAAATGATAACTCTGTTTTAGATTTTAATTTATCTATACATCTTGTCCTCTGTTGGATAATTACGAAAGTTCATGTTGTGGAACTTTAGCTTAGTATCCCGATTATCAGTAAATGTTGGCATAGTGTCTCGATCCAATAATTCGAATGTCACTACTTCTAGGGGAATATGTTTAGTATAAACATATGTGAGTATGCTTAGTTTCCTAATACTAACTTAAAGTAAGTTTACATTCATAACTTTCCGTTATAAATAAACTTTGATTACTATTCCAAACCTGCACAAATTTACAAATGCTTTTTAACTCCAAACTGGGTCCATGTAAGTTGATTTAGTGCAATTGTCAGTAAAAATCGATTCGTAATAGTCAGGATCAGTTAATAACCGATAAAAATACACTAGTCCAAGAACCTAGTTATCTAACTGTTACTATCAAACAACTATTATTCGAAAGATGGAAATTACCACATGGATATCGTTCTGCTGCATATTTATGGCAGCCTTATGGTGATTCAAAATGACGTCATTCATACTACTTCATTACTTAAACTACTATCAGAAACGCCTTAGAAACGGCACACTACTCCATTCACCTACTTTAGTAATCCCTAAGTAGGTTCTCAGCGCTGGTGTTTTCTAATATATTTGGTTTTTGGTTTTAATACAAACTTTTGTCCAAAGGAAATTATTAAGTTTTTCGTTCCTATTTACATAGTATTCGGTACTAGTAACCTAACTGGTCGGTGATTCTTTTTCTACAGCTCTGATTAAAATAAGTAATATTCATCCAATTTGTACTTGTGGTTTTAGATAGTTGAAGCTATTACGACGATCCTGTAAACAACTGTAAAGATGGGTAAACAAAAAACCCAACAAGATGAAGACATAAGTCTTGAGGATAATCCTAATAACCCCACGTTTGAAACAGAGAAATCACCTAAAACATCGAAAATACGTGCACGTAAGCACCATGATGAAGCCAAAGCTGTCAATCACAATGACCACAACACATCTCTGTCATCTAATAAAATTAAACAAAAAGGTGAAACAGTTATTGTAAAAGAGTCTAAAAAAGATAAAAAGCTTAAACGAAAGCTCAGTTCTAATCCTCGGAGCGGTGATGCTATTCTTGATAGTACTGAGTTCAGTTCTGAGATGAGGAAGGACAGTGTGTCAGAATTACCGTTAAAAAAGAGAAAGCATAGTTCTACGTCTAGTGGTCAGAACGAATGCGATTTAAGTAATGAAAATACTTGCCATGGGGTTGATATACCTAGGCTCAAAACAAATAACGAAGCGTCTTCGGAACATAAAACACAGAACTACTGTTCTTTGTTGGATGTTCATCCTAAAAGCACCTCTGGTGACCAAAAAGCATTGAAGAGATATAAGGGGGTCGAACTCAGGAAAAATGAGGCTGTAAATAAATCAAAAGAAAGGAAAAGAAGAAAGGACGTTTCCTCGTTAGGAATTCAAAGTCAAAGTATTTCTTCCAACCAAACGGTATCTAGCACATCTTATAAAAGCAAGTTACCAGACGGTATAACAGTATCGTATAACTTGTCAAAACCCAAAAGGTGCAAACAGAATGCTCCACACAAGATTGAAGAAGGAAAATGGTATCATGAATCTGAACTTTCTAATGACGAAGAATATTTCACGAGTGATGAAAGTTCTATTGAAGTAGATAACCCACAAAGTAGAAGGTTAGTTATTCTGCAATGTTACATGTCTATTACTTTCAATATTTAACCTATGATTTGATTGTTTTAATAAGATTATTAAGAATTTCAGTTAGATTTGTGTGCTCTGTGCGAATTCTCGAGAATATATTTGTACCTCTGTATTTTATGTACTAAGTGAAACTCTCGGTTAGTAAACGCCGTGAACAGCTAATGGATTTAACTTTAGGGTTAATGTCCAAATTAACATAATCAAGGATATGGAGCATAGGTTTCACTAATGATGTTGGACAACAGAAAGTTTTGTCCCTCACAGCTTGAAGTGTATTAATTTCAACTGTAATAAAAAGTTGAGTTATCATAAATGAAACACTAGAAATGAACACACTGTTCTATTAGAAATTTTATGTGTTCTTTTTGTCTTTCTAAAGCCTTCAACGTCAAAATAGACGACTGTTAAATGAACGTTTATCAAGAACCATATTCGTTGGCAATTTACCACTGAATATTACCAAAAAAAGAGTGGAAGCTCTATTTAATAATGTACTGAAAAATAACAAAATTTCATCTTCAGATTGCCGTGTTGAATCCGTCAGATTTCGTGGTGTTATTCCAGTTACTGGTGGTACTAGTAGATTAGCACGAAAACGTGCAGCTATCACGGGTGAATCTTCAGGTATATATTTCTAACACAGAATTTTTCTAGGTTTGTGAATTATGCTTTTTGATATTGGTTAAGCAGTTGAAGCTATCAACCATCAAAAATCATTTTATAGGTAGCCAAGTAATATTACTAGAGTTCATTTGGCTCAAACCAAAAAGGTAGCATCAGTGCTTGAAGTCACTAACTCCTATTCTTAGCCATGTTGATAGATGCAGACTACATGGTTGGGGTCCACGTGACTATCGTAACCAATGGTTATAGACTCTGGGTGACATGGCTCAGAATCGATCACAATGGCGTGAGTCTATACACTCTTTGTCTTCCCTTAAACTGTGAGATTAAAATCGCTTTATATCTTTCTTTTTTATCAACAAATTCTTTTTTTCCTGTACTATATCCTTATACACAATCTTTATTTTATATATTGCCACCATTGAATTAACTACTTTTTTGAATTCGGTTTTCATCTTGTTGTGCTCATGAGGTATGGCAACTTGAACCGATGCACATATGTGCCTGGTCCTACATTTTAGCCGACTGACGGACTTTGGCTCAAATCTGCGTACGCGGAACAAACTACTTGGCAAATGAGTCCCACTACATTGAGTTAATTGGGAGGTGGTCTAACAACTTGTTCTAGAGTCTTATGTACAACTGTTTGCATAGTATTCTGATATTATTATCATGGCTTTCAAAGAGTAGGATATATATATATCAGCTGCAAAAACTAGTTAAACCTTTGTTAATCATGATAAACGAGCATAAATGTTTACAGCAACAATGCGAATTAGATAAATACGTTTCTTATCTTTCCTAACTGTGTAAACCAGTTAATATATAATAGTTGTCATTAAAAGAAACAATATGCTCTTTGTTGTTTTAATTACTATAGAAGCTCCTTTATATATGACAACATAAAATCGCAGACTCTGAGTAACCGTTCTGATAAGAACATTAACGCCATTTGAATCATTGTTTCAGATCTCGGCAGTTAAATTCCATAAATTTTAGTAATTAAAAGTACTTTGGTTAGATCTTCATCAAACAATTAGACGAGTATGATTCATACACTAGACAAGAGATATTTGTGATGACATGGTGATTGGAGGTAGTCTACAGCAATCCCTAGATCACTATCTCATCACACGATGTCGATTCACCCAGACTTGTGATCTTACTCCAACTTGGTTGATAGAATTCAATCTGCACTAAGAAGGACCTGACACACATGACATTGATCACTACCCAGTGATCAATCAATTGTGAAGAGATATTTATCCTCTATACAATGATTGCAAGTATGTTATCTAATAACATTTTCTTCTGTCACATAAAAAATATTCAGTTTATCTAGGATTTTGAATCACTTCAGTTATAGAAGTTGTAACTTTTAAAATAACAATTAAAAACTTACACCCATTTATCAATCACAAATAATTGGATTATCCCAAAAATCATTGATGATAATCTACAAATAATCTCATTTGTGGTGGTAATTTAAAACGTATTTATTTAACAAAAAGATTATTTTAACTATACTCTGAATGTTATTTATTTAATGTTAGTAGCTTGTAATTAGTGACTGATATACGGGATAATAAAATAACATAGAGAGCTGATATAAACGATATCAAGAAAAAGTACTAAATTCAGTGTATTGAATAACTCATAAATTTTGAAAATTTATTTATTCTACAGGCAAATACAATTATATAGTGATTTAAATGAAATGTATACTTGTTATTATTCACTTAAGAAATTTATATTATTCTCTTAGTGATCTTAATAATCAAAGTATTTTTTTTCCTCATGTATATTAATGAAAATCAGGTGTTTCTAAATTTCGTATGGGTTATGTTGTTCTAACAACAAAGATCGGTGTACCAATTGTACTTTCCTTAGATGGATGCTGTTTGAATTCGGATGGTTTTATTGTGAATCCGGAAGAATCAATTAATGTCATTGGTGATAAAACTGAATCTACCAATAATGGTAGTAATAATAATAATACTAATGACGTATATCATATTCGAGTTGACAAAGCAACTGATAATAATGATAAAACACATTGTAAACTAGATAATAGTGTTTTTGTGGGCAATCTACCGTTCGATTGTAATGAAGAAGAGGTTAGTTTACGTTTCTCTTTAAAGTATGAATTATCTATGTAATAAATTTGCTAAGATTTCTTTGATGTTTATTTTGTTGTTGTTGAGATTTCTGATTTGTTTTCTGCGATTTGTCTAAAATGAATTAAACAGTGGAGTTTTTACATTCATAATTGAGTATCATCATGTGCTTAAACGGTCCAATCGCAATCTGATAAATCGTAAAATATTATTCTAGTCTGTTAAGTTTTCTAACTTGATGTGTAAAATAATTTTTATCATGGAATAACATCGATCAGAGATTTGGAGAAAAACAAGAAGTAGTGAAAAGCTAGTTCACAGAGAAAAAAGTCTTCAACATCAGTCACTCTCGTTTATTGTGAAGCCAAGTATAAAATAATAATTAATTCCAACAAAATTAAGATCGAATTGAATCGGTGAAGTTGTTCATCGTTGAAAATATTATTCATCCAAATTAAGCGGAATGATTCATAAGTTAATGTGGTCAGTTAATTGTGACCATTCACTAAAAGCCTTGAAGGACATTTATAATATTACTCGTTTTCTACCCGCTCAAAAATCTAGACAACCTATTTTCCAACTGCAAATATCGTAATAAATGTCTTTGTTTTTAATTTACTTAAAGTAATAAGTATGTATAATGTACTTCAGTCCTTTCATAAAAAACCCACAATTTTCCCCAATGCTTAATACTGAAAACCTCCATCATAAGCACCATTCTGGTTGGTATATTTTTTTCTTTGTTCATCCTTTGAAAACTCAGAGACCTTCACTTTAGAATATGCTAGAAGCATGTCGAACAATCTTACCGATGTAAATAGACTACAGCTGATCATTGTATATATTCATATGTTGAATGGGAATAAAACAGGAATTTTGTTAAGATATTGCACATTTTCTATTGAGAATTATGTACTTTAACTAAATATATAATATTAATTAACGTAAGCATTACTGTTATTATGAACGAAGTAGGTCTTCAATCTTAAAATGAATAGATTTGTGATAAGAGTATTGTGTGAAACCCACTGTACATGACCACAACTCAATCAGATAACATGCAGTAGCCAACATCAGAGCTGATTTTGTAGAAACATTTCCATTTTAACATGTAAATCCATATAAACTCATCGTTCTTCCTTTGATGTGCTCTACATTTTTATTTCATAGATTTACAGCACTTTGTCTACATTAGGATCAATAAAAAGTGTCCGTCTAATACGTGATTCTCAAACTGGTGCTGTACGTGGATTCGGTTATGTAGCATACAACGACCCATCGATTATACCATTAGCTATACGTTCATCTAATACACTGAGTATACGTGGGAGACAAATAAGAATTATGGAGTGTAAAGTGAAGAAAATTAAAAATAAAGAAGGCTCTCAACAGATTAAATTTCATCGTCATCGTCACGATAAAAATAATAAAATATTCAATACTGATCCGAAGAAAAAGGATAAACGAGCAAAAAAGGCGATAAAGAGGGAAAAGATGAAGGGACAACAACCATTCAAGTTAACTCATAGTGACACTGGTGATGGCAATAATAAAAAGATGTCAGAAAATAATGAAGTGCTTTTTAAGAAAAAAATACACAAAAAGAAGAAAACGTTGAATAACATGAAGATACACAAAAAATAAACTGGTTAGAAACTGAGGAATTAATAATGTAAATGTGTATATGTATATTTTAAATATAATATATACCATAATTTATATCATGTACATAATGTAACGATGCATATTGCATTAAATAAATAACTGATTGTAATTAGACTTTGTATTTGCTAGTATATTTGGATTTAGAATTCAGCATTCATTGTATATATATATATATATATATATATATATATATATATATATATATATATGAGAGAACTCGTTTTGAATTTCATGTGGAGTCGTATTCATGAAGAATTTCATTTGTAGGCAAGATTGATATTTATTCCTCCGACCTGTTATCAATGGCTGTTTAGCCTATCTTAGCCCGTGGAGAAAATTGTATCCAAACTTACGATAACATAATCTTAATATGATTTTGTTACTGAATATCCTTCGATATTTTAAACTTGATTGTTCTCACACCTCGAATCTTACCATAAATCAACAATGAATTAATCGATTCCGTAAATGGTGAACTGTTGAACTCCAATCGAAATCACTGCTTAGTCTTCAGAATAATTCTTATGATAAGTTTAATAGATTTACTTTAAATATCCATGTTTAAGTAAGATCAAAAAATGTGAATTTTATTATTGGAAACTACCTGAGATCTCAAATATGTTCCATAAAAATATCGAATCTTTAAAGCAGGATAAACGACCTATATTTGAATATTGCATAGATTAATATATTTAATGGTGACATTTTTTACCGTCATTACTACTGTTCCAGATATGGCTTTAATGTCTTATCGTGCATACAAAGAAAGGAAGAAAAAGTCATCATAGCATTAAGTAATGCACAAATAAATCAATCTAGCCAAACTCAGTTGTTTGGAAGTTTGACTTTCCAATCTAACCAATTTACGGTATTGTATGTTTCGATATCAAGGTTTAAATTGAAAATTCTCAAATAATTTGAGCTTTGTGTATAAAGTTAGTAACAAAATATATTTGTGATATCACAAATGATGGAAATTTGGATTTCTGACGTATTTATTTACCCTGAAGAAGTGTCCTACATTACGTCAATAAATCCAAATTCCTACATGTTGGGAGACTACAAATATATTGCTATTTTATTGATAGGAAGTGTGATTTTGATGGAGGTCACGTAACGAAATAACTGTTAACAGTGACTTCACATGATATTACCCGAATACTAGTTCTTGGTATCCAATACCATATTCTGTTTACGGAAAGATATATACCTGATAGTATGATACTCTAGCTGGTAGCTGGTTAAATATGTTTGAGGAAATTATTAGTATAGTATTGTGAAGTATTCTACAATTGAAGAACATATGCAACTCAAAATAACTCAACCAGTATCAAAGTCAGAATCTTCAATGCGAACGTTAAAACAGTTCTACTGTATGGAGTTGGAACTTGAAGAACTACCGCAACCATCATCAAAAATGTACAGGTATTTATGAACAATTGTCTACGCAAGATACTCAATGTCTGCTAGCCTACTGTAGGAGAGAACAAACCAGCTGAAGAGGAAATTAGGGAAAGACGCAGGAGGTGGATAGTATATACATTGGGGAAATCACCAAACAGCATCACCAGGCAAGGGCTAACTTGGAATCCTGAAGGGCAACGGAAAGGTGGGAGAACTCACTGCTCCGGGAATCGGAAGCAGAAACCAAAAGGACGAAGAGCAACTGGAAAGGATTGTTCAAGACAGAGTTCGATAAAGAATGTTGATGGGTGGCCTATGCTCCTCCATGAGGGGTAACATGCATAAGTAATTAATTATGAAGTACAGTGTAGATTTTGAAACCATAAGCTATACCACCACTAAAAACTGGGAAGCACCGGACAGCTGTTTTGTCCTAATGCGGAGCTCGTCAGCACCGCGGATCCCGACCCCTGGGATCAGACCTGGAACATTCTGTCTCGCATATAAACGTTTAACCACTGAACCATCATCCAACAGTTTTAACGTCCAACCTCAATCAGTTCACGGTATTGCGCGACTATCCCTTATTGTCTGAAGTGGGTAACTGTCTTCCACCTGACACGGTCAAACTCCACTGATCACGGCTTCTTACTAGAACTCCAAGAATTACGTCTTGAAGCTATTTATTCGTGAGCACATGATTATTTATCAGTATGCAGCTTTTTGAATGATGAAACAGCTGTTCGGTGCTTCCTAGTCTTCAATAGTGGTCTAAACAAGATCAATTCGTGATTTACAAACTACGAAAATTCTATAATCTCTACAAAACCCTATACTTATGTGCTCAGTAGTGATTAGTTTCAAGACGTAATTCCTAGAGTTCTACTAAGAATCCGAGATCAGTGGAGTTAAAGGACTACGCGGACATAGATACTGAGTCGTGGGCCACATACGCAGAAGTTTAATCGTAATACTGACAAATATCGTTTATTAATTTCAATCAGTGATAAGCAACGTAGAACTTGGCATATATGTACATCGCTTCAATTTACCACACCCTATTAGCATGGCAAGATGAAATCGCTAAGACAAATTTCAGAGTAGTAGAGGTGGTAACAGTACTGGTAGTAATAGAAACGATAAGACATCGGGAAGGGAATACAGATTTGCAGGATCAAAGATTATAGTGATTTAAAAGCTTAGGATCTAAGGGAAGATGGTGAATATACCTGCGCCAATGCAAACGATTTAGAGCCGTGTCGCCCAAAGTCTCTTAACCATTGGTTACGATAATCAAGCAAACCCCAACCAGGTAATATACACCTCCCTACATGATTCAGACTAACAGTCATTGCTTTCATGATCTGATGCAACGTTTACTCAAACAATTTTCAACGCTAACGATGCTGCTCTATTTATGTGATGAGTTTACGTGCAAAATCTCTTTGATTCTGAAGCTTGTTCTCCGTCAACGTCGCATGTTTGAAGCATTCTTTCAAACCATTTTGACTTTGAAGGTCTAATAAATCCGTCTGAAGATCATGATTAACTAACTTAATCCTAAGAAAACGTGAAGCACTCAGCTAATCAAACTTTCGTCCTAGGACTTAAAAATCCTCAAAACGTTAAGAACCTACCTGTGTGTTAGAATTTGGTAGTTATATTCCTGAAATACCAGGAAGACTACTTTTATGTTGAGAAACAAACGTAGTTGAGTTCCTTAAACTGCCAAAATAACCATTAACTTTGATTTCAAACATATTGACTTCTGAGTAAAGTACACTCATCAAAACATCACTTTAAGATTTTCAATTCAACTTACATTTCTAAAAAATTTCGAAAACTGTCATTCGCCTGTCTCTGTCTTAGCTGCATTTTGGACACTGAAAATTACTAATGCTAATGTGACTTTGTGAAGAAACAATCTGTCTAGTAAAGAGTTAGTAATTAAACAATATCCACATTTCACATTGGATTAAAATTGGAAGATGTAGGGATCATTAAAATTTGGCCTTTAAAATGTATACCAGACAATTAACAGTCAGTTTACGATCGACATAGTACACGTTGATGAATGGTTTTCACAGTTATCATAACCGAACACCACGTTGATCTCACTAAATAATTGAAATCGGTAATGGGATACTCACTGATTAAATATTCTAGTTTTTTTTTAAGAAGAATTAGACATGAACAAACCAGAAAAGGAAAACTCAGGTATCTTTTTTCCAACGTATACATTAAATTTATCATACTATCTAAAAAATCTTATAAATGTATCAAAAACAGAAGATAAATTTAAACAGGAGACTTTTGAACACAGAATATATATATATATATATATATATATATATATATATATATATATATATATATATATATATATGCAAAAGCAAAACGATGAAATTGATGGCAAATATGTGAGAGAGAAAGAGAAAAGAATGATCTTTTATACAGAGAGGCAATATTCGTTGAAAAAAACCTCCAGTGTAAGTATGCATATAATATACAATATGTTAAATATGAGTTACAGCATCTTCAAATAAACAAAATCGCGAAACTGATTGTTACTATCACTATTATTATTACTACTACTTTTTTTGAATTAGTCTTCAGATGATGTTTCCATGCCTTCTGTGACTTCTTCTTCTTCAAGTGTTTCCCATGATGAATCATCATCACCATCATTTGGTCGACCCATGGCTTCATTAGACTCTGCCTGAGAATCTATGAGAGCGTTTTCAGCATTTAAAATAGGATTTATATCATTATTGTTCGTGACTTCATCAACATTAGCGGACTCTGTGATGTTCGGATTCGCCTCTGTGCGTCGACGGCGTGTACGTCGTCTTCTGACACGTTGTTCATTTGAAGATGGGCTCCAATCACTTGAATCACTGGTACTTATATCATCTGAAGATTCATCAAGTATTTGGGCAAGTTCATCAGAAGCATCTCCATTCAATAAATCATCATCATCGTCGTCATCCTCATCATCATCATCTTCGTCATCCTCTTCATCTTCACGACCCTCTTCATCATCGTTGTCAGGTTCACGCTCCCCCTGAAAAAATAACGATTCAAATATACGAAGTTATAATTTCTAAATGGTAGAGAATGTCACTAATCCAAGGAAGTGTTTGGATTGAAGTGAGGTAATATCATGAAACAATGAATTATTTAATAATCTATGATTACCCAATTTTTGGTCAAACTAATTCATCATAGTTCGTAATACATCTATGATTGTGCAGCATGAAACTATGCTATTAGAATTGTAAAGAGTTTAACTGGTGGATAGTTGTCCTGAAAACCAGCATAATGATGAACTAACCTCTCAAATAGTATGACTACATGGTTCTAGATGGTGAAGAGGTAGCTGAGTGGTTCAGTCACTTAGCTTTCATCAACCAGCAGATCTCAGGACCGAATTGAACTCCACAGCCGGGTACATATACATGAACTTAATCAATTAATTAAATTATTCTCAAAACAGAATTATAGCGAGTGACACAAACACCCGGATAGGTAGCTTTAGCCAAGAAGTAGGATTCCTGAATAAAGCTTTTCACATTGAAACCTAGCGAAAAGACAGTGGTTTATATCTGTAAAGTGCCAACTTTAAATATATAAAGAGACATTGCTTGACATGATGACATCTGGGACAGACTAAGTGCTGGACACGAAATACTCTACATATCAGTCACATCTGATATTCCTTAAAAAAGT